AAAAAAAAAAGAAATGTTCGGTGACCGTTTTAACAGTAGGCCTTATTTTCTCTGGAACAGAAAAACCGCTCACAGTAGCTTGCCACACCGCCTTCATACGGTCGCAAGAGTACAAACCTTCATTTTGTGTATCAGCGCCGTCGTCGGGCTTTGTCTACTTTTGTAAGATAGTCGGTGCTCCAAATCACAATGCAGCCCGCCCTTTGTCGAAACTGGTCGGTGATCACTTATTCATGCAAGTGTGTCGAAAGCCATTTCATTATTCCCCCCTTCCCCGTGTAGCCGGCAGTCGCATCTTTGCGGCCCCGGAATTATCCGATGACTGGGCTTATATCTTGCGGGTTTGATTCACCTGAATACTGACAGAAATATCTTTTTCTATCTGTTTGTAGAATCTTTGAGTAAAGAGGGCGGCTGTTAGCTCGCCGAAATTATGTCTTTATTCGTCTGAGCATTCCTGCTCTTACTGGAGTCATCTTCAGTCTGGAGATAATTGCGCATGGCTCTGTATGCCGACATCAGTTCGCTATGTCGATTGACTAAGTTCTTTTAGAATGCTCAGGCTTCAATAAATTCGCGGGTTTTTTTGCTTCTGGTCTGCGCGATTACCTTCGTGCCTTCGAAGTTAAGCTCGCGACCCGTTTCGTGGGTGTAGGCAAGCACTTGTCATAATCCGTTGCTCCGTCTCACAGCCAGCTTATGTTACTGTATGCGTGATCTCAGCATGCGTCCAGTCTGTCCTATGTAGTTACGAGGAAATTTTTAGACACGAGATGCGATGCACTGCACTGCACCCGACTGTTCACTAGGATTTCATAGGTCCTAGTTTTTATGATCCTGCTGCGCATGGTAGCTTTGGGCGTTGTGAAAGTCCGACATCTAGCCACGCAGCAATGCACTTGGTCGCCTTTAATCCGTCCTTGATGTAGGGTAGTTCATGTCATACGGTTGCTGGTTGGGTTCTCCTAGAGTGAACACGTAAGCATCGGCTTATGAACACCTTCGGGTAGCCCTGGTCGCGGAGGCATTGAGCCTAACGTGCATTTTCATCCGAGTTTCTTCAGTGAGTCTGTACTCTTTTGAAAAGTGTTCTCACACACAGTTTCCTTTCAGTATGTGGTTTACCAAGCTGCTCTGACCTCCCCAAAGACTGACTGCGATTTCTGTGCATATGCCTTCGGGCGCCAGGCTCAGTGTTCTCCTATTTACCCTCAAGAACTCGTGTGCTGAGGTCAATATCAGTAAGATCTCCTATTCTTCCTCTGCACGGAAACCTCGGTCACTTTTACTGGACCTTTTACGCCTCTGTATAAACCTGAAGGAATGTGCCCAGATCTGCTGTTTTATTTAGTGTTTGTTTTTTTTTGCATCTTTCGCACAGTGGTGATGACAAGGGCGAACACGTCCTCTCCATGCTACTACACGGGGATGCCTCCTTCTGCGGCCAGGGCGTGGTCTACGAGACCATGCATCTCAGTGACCTGCCTTCCTACACTACTCACGGCTCCATCCACATGGTCGTGAACAACCAGGTAAAAACCTTCATGCCTTCGTCTGTCGCCCCCTCCTCGATCCCTCATACAGCATCGAATAATTCAGGGCTATTTGCCTAGGCTGCTAGCCGCTATGCGGTTGCTGGTGGAGCTCGATATCGAGTCCCGAGACAGAGTGGGACGAGTGAGCTACTATATCGATCGGTGAATGTTCATTAACGAGTGTCAATATCTCAGGATCTAAATTCTCAAGACAACAAGACTGGCTAAATTATTAGAGCGTTAGGCTTCTCATCAAGAGATCGCGAGTTCGAACCTCAGGTGGGGCAGCGCTTGGGGGTTGGGCATGGCTGGCTGGCTACTAGCCCTTGTTAGATCAGGAGCCCCGCCGGGTGGGCCTCAATCCC